CACATCCCCGTGGGGGTCCCCTCTGCCTCTGCCCCCTGGCCCTGTCTCACACCTTTCCTGTCCCCTGCCAGGTCTATGTACCCACGGTGTTTGAGAAGTACACAGCGTCCCTCCAGGTTGCTGGCAAGCCCGTGACGATCCACCTCTGGGACACAGCAGGTGGGACACGAAGGGACTGGGCAGGCAGTTTTGCCCCCCACACCCCCACCCGTGGGCTTCGGGGTGTCCTATACCCATGGGTCATACCTTGGAGGGGTGTCCCCATGCACTGACCATGGGAGATGGGGGGTTAATCCACAGCTGTCCCCAAAGCTGTCACTCCCATGGTCCCAGGCTGGGGGAGGGCCAGCCCAGCAGGGAGCTGGTGCATAATGGTCTGCTTCTCCGCCTGCAGGACAGGAAGACTATGACAGGCTTCGCCCACTGTCCTACTCAGATGCCAATGTTGTCCTCATGTGCTTTGATGTCACCGACCCCAACAGCTATGACAACATCCTAACGAAGGTAATGCATCCCAGGGGGCTGCTGAGGCTGCTGCCTGTGCCCTGTCCCCATCCCTGGGTGACACGTCCCCCTCCATACTTATCCCATGTACCTGTCCCTGGGTGACAGTCCCATCCTTGACTGACATGCTTTCCTACACGCCAATCCTGTCCCTGTTCCTGGGTGATGTGTCCCCCCCAGCTATCCCATGTCCTCATCCCTGGGTGACATGTCCCTCCACATCTGTCCCGTGTACCCATCTCTGGGTGACATGTACCCCTCTATACCATTCCCGTGTGCCTGTCCCTGGGTGACATGTCCCCTTCACAGTGGTACCCAGAGGTGAACCACTTCTGCAAGGGTGTGCCGGTGCTGCTGGTGGGCTGCAAGACAGACCTACGGCAGGACCAGGAGGTGCTGCGGAAGCTGCAGGAGGGACGCAAGGAACCTGTCTCCCGCCAGCAGGTGAGTGTCACTTCCGACGGGACAGGAGTGCCCGCACGGCGCGGTGGGACAGCCGCGGTCCCCGGGGGTCTGACCCTGTGTCTCCCCACAGGGAGAGACCATGGCACGGCAGGTCCGT